TAGGAACTGCCTATATTCTTCCTATATTCTTCAATACTACCTTAATAATTCTTAGGTCCTTGGTTAGGACTTGAGTTATTAAATTACCATCAGTCTTAGACTGTGAATCTAAATGTAGATTACCCACACATCATCATCATCTTCATCATCATAATCCCCTCCATGGATAGCCACAACACCCTGTTGTCATGAGGGAGGAGATAATGAAAAATTAGTCATACAGAATTGGGAACAAAATAATTGAAAAAGTAGTAAAAAATGAGCAGCTTAAAATATTGTGGATTTCTAGATACAAACTGATAAATCCTTGGCTCCTAACACACAAGATTTAATTACCCAGAATTGCCTTGAACTGCAAGATGGGAGCCATATAAATTGAATAAATAAGAACTGTGGTTGACAAGAAGAAAATGCAGATAGCTGATGTTGAAGTACGAGGAGATAGTAGAATAAAAGGCAAAAAATGGAGAAGATCACAAGATCTGAAAACTGAAGCTGAAAGCTTATGGCATAAACTGACCAAGATGGCACCAGGGATTATTCGCACACTGGGTGCCATACTAAAAAAATCTTGGACGGCACTTAGAAAATCTGTGCATTGACAAAATTTCCATCTGTCAATTGCAAAAGGCCAAAATGCTTGCGTTTCCACATGTACCACACTGAAAAAATATCACATCCTAGGTTGTTGGGAAGCATGTGATGCATATTAAGGCTTACACCAGCTAAAAAACTGGCAGCTGTGACTTCACATTGCTGTGAACAGATAATAAAATATGCTTTTGAGGCATCAGAAGCAAGTATGGCAATTGCACATTTAAGCAAAAATATATGCAGCTCTGCACCATAAGATGGAAGACTTATCACTGTCTCAGTGGGTTCTCAAAAAATGATGGAGAGAAGAAAGGCATGAAGACAGGTGGGGGTTTCAAGAGATGACTTCTAGATCCTATAGACATATTTCAAAGGAATGAGCCTTTTGACTAGGTAGGTAAGAAAAATACATAACTTGTCTCACAAACTTTACTTTCAAAACAATCAGGTAGTTCCAGTGAGTTCAATAAACTTCATGTACTTGGGCCTTCCAAGGGCCAGCCCAAAGTACTGGTGGGTTGGGATGAAGAGGAAGATTTGAAGATTTTTAATAAGAGGAAATTGCCCATAATTTATATAAACAGTGTGGAGAAATCTTAGAACTTAGGGTTATCCAAGCAAGTCAGGTGATGGGTCATTCAGAAGAAAGAGGGAAAAAACATGAAATCTATTGATCCATTTTAAGGATTTAAAAAAAATTATATAAATTCTTGGTGAAGGAATTATTATAGTCATGATGTTTTTTGAAGCATGAAGCATTCAGCCACTAGATCAAAATTTCTCAACCACAGTAACTTAAAGATGTGTGGACTTCAACTCCCAGAATTCCCCAGCCAGCACAGCCTCATATCTTTTAAGCTGCTGAGACTGAGAAACAGTGCACTAGGTCAGGGGTAGGCAACCTTGGTTCTTTTATGACTCATGGACTTCAACTTCCAGAATTCCTGAGCCAGCTTGGCTCAGCTTGGGAACTCTCCCTTTCCCCTCAGCATGGCTGGCTCAGGAATTCTGGGAGTTGAAGTCTACGAGTCATAAAAGAACCAAGGTTACCTACCCCTGCACTAGGTACACTAGTCCAGTAGAGTTAGGTAAAGGCAACTAATTTCCTGCAGAATTTTGCAAGCGTTAGACATTTTATTTTTGCTTATTTTATTTTTTAAAAAATTCTACTCCTCCAGATCATCAAGAACCCACTTCTAATGGCTTTTTTAAAATATTTGTCTTTGGAAAAGCAACGTCAGGGAGAGTGGAGCAAAGAAAAGCAATTTCAACCACCTTAGGTTTCAGAATGCCTCCAGAAGATTTCCATATTCACAATGTCCAGTCAAAGGGACAGCCTGCCTTCATTCAACACCAGCACAGAGATCCTGTAAAGCAATCTCTTTCAGGGAGGCTGTGAAAGAAAATATGCTTTTTACCTTTCCTCAAAGAAAATCATTTCAACACCTTCCGCCTAAAAACTCATGTGATAGGCTTGCTGTCTGGCTTGGAAATGTGAAAATACATAAGACTTATCAAGCCTTTCACTACTGACAATAAAACAGGCAGAGGGTAACACACAACACTTTTCAACACAATTAGTGGTTGTTTGTTCTATAATTATTCACTGAGTATTTGCCCCTGAGTGGCAGAGAGCCATAATTTACTGTTTAGTCCAGGAAGTGTTTTGCAATGCTAAAATATCCCTTCCACTTCCAAAGCTTGCATCAAGTTCTCTTTTCCAGGTATAGTCTTTGCTTTATCTAAATTCCAGCACAGCGTGTAAAAAAATGCTTCTTTTTGACTATCAGCATAAAAAAAAAGTAAATTGCCTTGAAACAGTTGCAATCCTACAGAGAAGCACAATCCAATATATGTCCATCTTAAGGCAGCCCAACTAGTTCCTTATCAAACAGAAAAATATTAGCATGCATTGTTTGCAGCGTAAGGCTGTTGCCTTGTTTTAAATAAATCCTTGGCTCAGTGCAGAATCAATACAACACGTTGTTTCATCCTTCTAGAAAAAGAACTAATAGCTGTAAGCTACCCTTCTCGTTTTTTATGATTCTCCCCCTCCCCTCATAAAAGAAACTATCCGGTTTGATTAAATATCTTTGTTTATCTTTGTGCTCTGCTGACAGGGGTCTTCTCTCCCCACCCCCACCCCTCCAAAATGGCATCAAAGCAATCAAAATGGTAATGCTTAGCATGAATGGGCCACCAGCCCCTCCTCCTGCCAACCCCCCCCCCTCCGCGTTAAAACTCTGCAGACTTTTCTCCATGTTAGGAAGAAACCAACACCCCTTTGTCACAAAATGGAAGCTTCCACTACAAACTGAGAGCGGTGGCAAATTCTGGGCGAGGATCAATCAGGGTTGCGGGGAGGGGGGGAGGAGGAGGAGGAGAATAGTGGAAATGCTGAGATTTCTAATCCCGGGAACTGAAAACATTCATCCTGCGGGCAACGTTTCCAAATACTTCCGCATGCTTTTCCAGCTACGAGGATGGAATACAGACCCACACCGTACGATCATATAAAACGTTGACCAGATCTTTTATCACAGAAAACATACGACCTACATCGGGTTTCTCTCTCTCTCTCTCTCTCTCTCTCTCTCCCTCCCTCCCTTTCCTTCCCCTTCCCCTGATCTCTTCTCTCCACCCTTTGGGAAGGCGAGCATGGCACGAAAGTCGATCCCGGAATTTTATTTCATTTTCCCCCACCACCCACCACCCACCACCCTCGCCTTCCTCCTCCTCCTCCTCCCCTCCTCCCAATTTTTCGGAAAGGAAGCAAAAGCAAAGACGGGGCGCTGTTCCAAGTTTTGGTGCTGAAACGTCTGCAGCATTCCGGAGGAATCGCGGCATCGATTCCGCCAGAGGACGGGGGAAAGAGGAGGAAGGGGGGGGGAATAGATGGGGGGCGATCTGGGCAGGAGGGGCGCCCCGGGGAAAGTTCGCTTGTCCAGGCGGGGGTGGAGGGGGGGTGAGTGGGCAGCGAGAGGTGTGTGGGGGGGTGGACATGCATAATCCGGCAGATCGCAGCTCTCGTAGGCTAAGCCGCCGCTGTCGGGTTTCTGCACGGCCAGGCTCGAGAGTGCTGGAAGGCGGAAGGGGGAAGGGAAAAGAAGGGAAGGGGCTGAGGAGTGCGGCGGGGCGCACGCGAGCGGGCGGGGGGGGCGCGCCTCCCATCAAAGCTGCCGAGCTGCTGAGCGGCGCCGCGGATCGTTCCGGGGCATCTGTTCGTGGTGCTGAAACCGAAGCCATCCGAGCTCCGGGGCCCCCCTCCGCAGAGATGCGAGCAACTCATCCCCGCCAACCAACTTTCTTTTCAGCTGGGAAAGCCGCGGGAGAACGTTGGGGGTGGGGGGTGGGGGGGAGAGGGGTAGCAGCCTCCGAGCCAGTAATTATTGCATGGCAGGCACATCAGGGTCATTCACCGCAATAGCAGGAGACATGCTGACAAAGATCACACACACGCGCGCGCATAACACACACACACACACACACACAGCAGCGCAGGCATGCACACAAAGAAAGTTTGTTTGAAGAAGGGTGGGGAAGAGCAGACCAGGTTTGTTTTGGCATCGCTTCACTTTCCTGCTCAGATTTGCCTAACTAGGTGAGGGGGGAGGGGGAAGGGATGGAGCCTCAAGCAAAAAAAAACCTCTCACGAAGACGACCTGAAAGCCTATGCATCAGATCATCAAGGGGACGAAAGAAAGAAAGAAAGAAAAAATAGCAAGTGTATGGACGGATGATTGGGGGGGGGGAAGAGAGAGAAATATATACATCACATACCAACAAAATAAACATTTCCGACCAAATTCGGATCTGCAGACGTTCCAAGGTGGCTGGTCTCAGCCTCCTTATTCCCAACTCTGAGTTATTCCACGTTGAAAGGAAGTGAACACAAACTAATCCAATACCCAAGAATTTTCCATATTCCTAAAACATGTCGACCAACTCAAAATGGACGCCTGTGTGTATATGTGTGTGTGTGTGTGTGTGTGTGTGTGTGTGTGTGTGTAGGAGAGCGAGAGAGTGTTAAAATAAAACTGGTTCCAACAACAGCTTCACTCTTTTTCTCTATTATGATTACCCGTATAAAGGCATTTCAAGGCAAAAGTAAATAAATAAATAAATAAATAAATCCTGATCTTTAAATCGTTTTTCACTTTAGGCAACCTTTAAACACACAAAACACTCCAAGAAACAAACCAAGAAACAAAAACAAAACAAAAATAATAAACACCGAGTGTTTTATTCACATGGAGGTATTTCTCAGCCAACGGCGGACTTTTCAGATGTTTAGAAAGTGTACTATTAATAGCAGAAGAAAAGGGGAAAAAAGAAGGGAAGCCAGGAAGAGAAGAACAGAAGAAGCTTAGTGCAAAAGAAACAGAACTGAATTGATTTGTTCTTACTTGTTTTTCATTAAGAGCTGCTATTCTCGACTGCCTCTCTTGGATTTGTTTCTTAAGATCCCCGTTCTGTAAAAATGGCAATAAAATGCAGATTAAAAAACCAAGTGCAAACTAAAAGCTAGTTAAAAGTAAACTTGCATCTAGCAATGGCTTCGAGCGAAAGCGCAAGGAAAATCGGGCACAATGAGGAGAGATAGAGATGGAGATAAAGTAACAAAGATCAGCCCGGACTTCAAAGGGATCTCCTATTGATAAAGTTTCTCCTCCTGAGGTCGGAGCACTTATTGCAACACAGCTAAAATCCGGTGGAACCGGGACTCTTCTTTTAATTAAAAAAAAAAAGAAAGAAAATACAGCCATCTGCATTTACCTGTGGATTTTGCTTCATCTGTGCAACTAGTTTCTGTTTAAAGGGGGGGGAAGTACCCCGAAAAAGAATGAATTAAAAGTCTTAGAGGTGTGATGGATTTTTTTTTTAAAAAATGTGCGTGTGTGTATATATATGTTCTTGTGTGTGTGTATGTATGTGTGTGGGGGGGGAGTGTGTGTGGAGGACAGGAAGGGAGGGGTGTGGAACAAAGAGGCAAGTAAACACAGCGAGTCAGTTTCAAGCAAAGCTCATAAATATTCAAGTCTCGTCCTAATCTCTCCAGCACACACACACATACGGACGGACGTCTATACAGACACACACATTCACGCGCGCGCGCGCGCGCACACACACACACACACACGTACAAGGATCAACCGCAAAGGTGACTCCGGATCGAAGCCCCGCAGATTCCCACGCCGAAAGTCAGCCAAACAATCCGTAAAAGTACTTCGCCAAAGTGCTCCAGGCGGCGAGTCGGAGTCGAGCGAGAGAGGCGGGAAGCTCTCCCCGCCCCGCCATGCCTCTCCCTTCGCGTGAGCCGGACTCTGCCGTCCTCCTCCTCCTTCTTCTCCTCCTCCTCCTCCACCACCACCACCCCCCGGTCGATTCAACCTGCGGCGGGGACCCAGAGCTGCCCGGGAAGCCGACAGGGCCGGGTCCTGCCCGTGCCCGGGGGCGCCTTCTCGCGCCCAGACCAGGGATGCTCCCGGCCGCGGCTGGCTCGCCCTTGTTTTTACCTGCTGCCGGCCCTGGATTTCCACTTTTAACGCTTCTTGCAAACCGGGCATCTCCATCCTTGCAAGTTGCGAGGCACTTTTTTTTTTTTTTTTTTTTGGGTCCTCCCCCTCGCGAAGCCTGGGGAAGTTTGGGGAGGGAGCTTGGTTTCCCCCCCTCCTCCCCGGGGTTGGCTCAAACCCGCGCGTGGACACTTTCTCTTCTCCCCCAACCCCCACCGCGCCGCCACCCCGAAAATCCCAAGCACGTGCCCTCCCCAGGAAGGGAAATGTTTGCCAAAAGAAAAAAGAAAAGAAAAGAAAAGCGACCCCAACAATCCAAAGAAACGGGAACTCGGCGGCAGAGCAAGTTCTTTGCCTCTTGGCGAGGGGCACAGACAAATCACTCACTTTCCGCCAAAGTGGGGGGGGCGTAAGTCCCGGGCTCCGCCACCCTCTGGCCGACGATCCCCCCTTGGGCCTCGCGGCACGCACACACCCTTCCGGCCGCCCCCCCCCCGTGGCCCTCCCCGCGCAGCTCGGAGACCCAGAAGACTTTTTTAAAAAAAACGGCAGGGACTATATTTTCTCCGAGTGCGCGCCTTGATTTCACTTTGCCTCGGGAAAAGTTGTGCCACGGCTGTCAATGCTAATTCGGAGTTGCCCGGATGGAGCCAGGCGGGAGGGAGGGAGGGAGAGAAGGAGGAGGAGGAGGAAGAGGAGGAAAAGAGAGAGACAGAGAGGAGAGAATGTGTGCGAAAGAAAAAAAAGCTGCTCTTCGAATGGAGCATGCGCGCTGGGCGGCCTTTGGGAAGCCAGCGCGAGAGAACAACGGAGCTAGGAGAGCAGCAGCGGCGGCGGCGGCGCGGAGCTCGCAAGGGGCTCGGGAGAGCGGGGAGCCCGTGCGGGCGTTGCGGCTTAATTAGATGCTTCGCGACGGGTGGGGGGGAGGCGGCTGTCGGAACGGAGCGCCCAGAGGAAGCCCAGATGTTGCTCTTGTTTTCTTTCCGTCCCCCGTTCTGCACACAAGGACTCTTCAAACCGGAGTCGGTGGGGCCTCGCCGGGTGTCAAAACGATTCAAGAGGGCAACCTGCACTCAAGGAAAGGAAAGGAAAGGAAAGGGCAGGGCTTTCATTCTAAGACTGAGGTTGCCATCTTGACTCTTTTCACACACACAAACACACACCTCTGGAATCTTGCTGGCAACTCTTGAGCCAATGGATTGAATTTCCATACAGAAGTTCTCTCTCTCTCTCTCTCTCTTACTCTCTTTCTCTCTCCCCCTCGTTCTGTCTCCCTTTCCACTCTCCCTCCCTCCTAGAATCTGGATTGGAGTTACCCATTTATTTATTTATTTATTTATGAGACTTATATACCGCTTTAAGTGCAAGCACTCTCTAAGCGGTGTACACCAGTAAGCAATGTATATATATATATTTACATTGCCCCCAACAATCTGGGTCCTCATTTTACCTTCCCCGGAAGGATGGAAGGCTGAGTCAACCTTGAGCCGGTGAGATTTGAACTGCTGACCTGCTGAACACAGCCAGCTAAAGTGGCCTGCAGTACTGCACTCGCAAAAGTTGACTGTTCACAGCCCCAGTTGTGGTTGTTCCTGTTGTGTGTAGGCATGCCAGAATTGGAAACGAAGCTTGACCTAAAGACTTCAAATGCTGCAGAACAAAGGGTGCATTGGAGGAGCTCTTTGAGATTTTGAGGCTGCTGAAAGGCCTTGGATCAGAGATGTGGTGCTTTCCCAGAGATGGGAGTTTGGTGTGTTATTAGCAACCTGGAAGTCAAAGGTTTCCCCTTCCTCTTTTGACTTTGCCCTTTCTGCCTTTGCCTGCCTCTTCCCTCCCCTTGCATACAATTCAACTGCTGCAAATCATCACCCAGGCTACCAGCAAATGAGAAACATGTTGCTTTACAGTTTCTCAACTTCGGCAATTTCAAGATGTGTAGGCTTCAACTCCCAGAATTCCCAGCCAGCAGAAAACACTGCTTTAGAATTTAAGATCTGGATGAAGTAGAGAGCCTTCTCTGCTTTATTGGGTCTTTATCTGCCAAATGTGTGCAACAGAGGGAACTCTTGGGTTACGCCAAGACATCTTGAACATTTGTTTTCTACTGTATGTTATACTCCTATGAATATTAATGAGTGAAAATATTAAAAATAGGAACAGATAAGTGATAGTTATATTGAAAGATCCAACCAAATTCTCATTCAACATAACTTTTTTGAAATACGTTTTTCTGGATTTTTTTTTTTTTGTTGTTATTCTGTCTCTCACTGTTAAAATAAACCTACCATTAAAATTATAGACGGATCATATATAGTTTAATATATATGTATATACTATATATATATATATGTTTTCTGAGGTTTTCGCGGGTGTTTGTATGTGGATCTTTGATTATTTGGGTTTTCTCCCGCGTAAAATTGGAAGTGTCTTGGCGACGTTTCGACGAAGTCCCATTCGTCATCTTCAGGCTGGTGTTTTCAGCTTCGTGCTTCGAGGAGCTGAGGTGCTGGCTGTGTTGCCATTAGTTTGGCATCTCAGCTACTCAGGATGTTATGAAACAGCCGAACAATCCGCAAACAATAACTCCAACACAGTCAACCAACCCACCTACAGCAACTAAGCCAGCACTCCACACACCCCCACCAATATTTATAGAGAGACGGCAGCTCTGATCACACTTTGCTCACACAAGCACGAAGCCGAAGACCCCAGCCTGAAGATGATGAGTGGGACCTCGTCGAAACGTCACCAAGATACACTCAATCTTACACAGGAAAAGACCCGAATACGCCAAGACCTGCATACCTGTACCCGTGAAAATCTATGAAAACAAATATATTCCGTCAAATATATTCTATAATTCTATATTCTATATTTTTTTATATATATACACAGACATATATACATATATACATACATATATATACATATACTGTATATATACATATATACATACATACTGTATATACATATACATATAACAAATAACTGAAACTTCCAAGATGAAAAGTGAAAAAAAACATAACAAATAAATGAGAAAAAAAGGGTATGTGAAAAAAAATTGGCAAAGGCTTACCAGTCTGAGAATTTTTATATTCATTTCCTCCAATCTGATAAAAAAAAGCTTTATTATGCATACAGAAATGTAATTCTGCCCAGTATCTGTGAATGTATGCAAAGACCCGGCTTTGTTTTACAATAAGCAATATCTTTAATCCTCGGTCACATACGAACGGACTATTAGTTGTAACTTGTCAATATTTTAGATTATTAGATTTTTACAGTATAGTTTATTTCTATATTCTTAATTCATTGCATGACACTCAGCCTCTAGTTTGAGATTTCACTTATAATTAATTTTAGAGTTTCTCCCCCTTCTTCTATCTTAGCTAGATTTAACCTTTAACTTTAATCTTCATCTTAAATAGAGTGTTACGCTGCAGACAGTATTTTACTTATAGACTACTTCAGTATAATATTTTTGGGGCTGGTTCCTGTTATATTTTGTTTGAAGTTAATCAATGATCGAAATAAAGTTCTCTCCCTCCCATTCATTTGAAATCAGATGAAGGCTTAAGTCAAAAGTAGAGACAAAGACTATCTAACATGTAAATTCTGAATGATGGAACTTTCAAGATTGATTGACAGCTGAACATTCCATTGAGAGTTTTTGTTTGACAGAGCACCCTGAAATCCGAGTAGACTTCAGCTAGCTCACATGCAGGGACACCCATAGTGTATGCCTGTGTTTCTCTGCATATGACAAAAGTGAAGTTGGTAGCCACAATTATATGATTGCAAACTTCTTGATTTTTTTTTATTCCACCAATTCACCCACAGATGCTTTTTATCATATGGATACAAAAGATTGCTTAACCAAGGAAGGGAAGCGGGTGCCATCTCTGAAGCACAGAGATTCTCTAGATCAGGGATCTTCAAACTTGGCCCTTTTATGACTAATGGACTTCAACTCCCAGAATTCCTCAGCCAGGCATGCTCATCTAGGAAGTCTGGGAATTGAAGTCCACACATCTTAAAGTAATCAAGGTCGAGAAACACTGATCAAGATAACCAAATTAATTTGATGTGATCTAGGAGCAGTTGTGAGGTAAAGATAAGTTTCCTTTAAATGAAGCTTGACTCCTTAGGGACAACTTTGGTCTTTTCTCAGCCATACTAAACAAGAGATTTGCAACTATTTCTTCTGGGATGACTTGTTGACTTCTTAATTTAACCTACAGTTCTGGGAGTTCCTAAGCAGGTCCAACCTGCTTAGGCTTTTGAAGATCCATCAAAGTCAACTGTGTGATGACATCGCTTGTTTCAGCAAAGTCAAGTCTCAATTCCTAGTAATTCTGTGGAAACCTCTATCGCAGTGTTTCTCAACCTTGACAATTTTAAGACATGTGGACTTCAACTCCCAGAATTCCACAGCTAGCATTGCTGGCTGTGGAATTCTGGGAGTTGAAGTCCACATACCTTAAAATGGTCAAGGTTGAGAAACACTGCCATCGTGTCTTCTTTCCCAAAGCAAAGAAAATAATTTGTTGTTGTCTTCTCGTGAATGGTGTTGAGTTACAAATTATCCTCCAGCCTTGGGATTTAGAATCATAGAATGGTGGGGGTGGAAGAGAGCATGAAGAGCATGAAGATCATCCAGTGCAACTATCTAGCTGGCTGAGGAATTCTGGGAGTTGAAGTTGTTGCCAAGATTGAGAAACACTACTCTGCAGCAGAGGTCTTCAAACGTGACTCTTTTATGACATGTGGACTTCAACTCTCAGAATTCTTCAGCCACAAGTCATAAAAGGGCCAAGTTTGAAGACCCCTGCTCTACAAAGTGTGGCAAATCCAATTAAACCATTCTTGAAAGGTGACTATCCCCCCTGTTTCTAAAAATCTCCAAAAGTGAAGAATTCACAGTCTCCCTAGGTCAGTGGTTCTCAACCTGTGGGTCGGGACCCCATTTGGGGTCGAATAACCATTTCATGGGGGTCGCCAAACAACGCAGTCTGCCATTTTTTCCCCCTTTTCTTTAGCTGTGCTACTCCCTTTTATTCTATTGGCTTTTGAAAGCCAACAGAATAGA